GGAGGGTGCAGGCCAGCTCCTCCTGCGTGGGGTCTTTGGCTCCGCCCCGTCTGTGGGCAGGCGCAGAGCGCAGAGCGCCCGCTTTCATCTTGTTGCGTGGAAGCGCTGCTCCTCGCATCCCCAGTGCCTGCTCTTCCCCGTGGCATAACGGGCTGTTTTAGAACGAGGCCTTTGCTCCGGCGATGTCTTTAGAGCAGGGCATGGTGGCTCATGGGTCGGCGGGGTTGTAAGGCGAGGGTGGGATTAAAAGTCTTGGGTGATTAGGTTTCAGCCTACATTCGTCTGACTGGAGCCACAGCCCGAGACTGTCCCCCCTTAGGTCCCTTAGACCGCGTGGGCGTGGCGGGGGTGCTGCAGCTGGGGTTGACTGGGTCCTACCCGAAGGGCATTTTGAAGACTAAAAGTGAAGCTACCGTGTTTGGGGGGACATCTTGATAATTCCATGAGTATTTACTAGCTCGTTTATTTAGAAAACAGTTTTTTTCCCTGACTGCAAATCCAAAAAGGTTAAAACAACAAAGGCACAGAGAGTGCAGGATAGCTGGGTGCTGCCCGGAGGCCCCTGGGGCGACCCCTGTGGCTTCGTGGGTCTCCAGCGCCGCCCCCAGGGGCTTCGGCGTGGTTGTGTGAAGTGGCAGCTGCAGGCCTAGCCAGGAGGACAGCCCTGGTCTTGGGGGTGGGGGCGCCGCCGTGGGCCGCAGGCCAGCGAGCTGCAGTTCGGGTGCTGGCAGACAGCCCTGGGCCCTGCGCCCTGTGCCCTGCGCCTGGCTGCCGGAGGTGCCACAGCTCAGGGCGTGGTGCAGGGCAGTGTCCGAGAACATTCACAGCGCTCGAAAAATGCCTGCTGCTGACCTTGCTTTTTAATCACACAGAAATATAGTAAAATGGGCTCCCCGGGCGAGGGCTAAGCCTCAGCACCATGAAGCTGCCGCGACCCCTGGCCAGGGAGGGACCCCAGGGCCTAGCAGACCCCCCTGTCTCCCCGCTGCCCCTCAGGGGTGGGTGCCAGGGGACCCTCCTGTTCTGCTCCCCGCTATCTCTGGGGAGTCCTCTCACTGCCCCTGCACCTCTGGCCTGCACCCCAGCTCTGTGAGCATAAACAAATAAATAATCTTAAAAACAAGAAATTACAGTGAAAGGTAAGTAAAGGATCCGTTACGGCAGTTTGAGGAATGTCTGGAGGATGCACTGTTGTGTTGCTTTTGAAATCTACTAGCTTGCAGCTCGGCACTTGGCGATGGCGGATCTGGGGTGTGTTTGCAAACATTGGCTCTCTAGTGGCTCTTTGAGGAATGAGGGTTTCCTTGTCTTCAGCCTCAGTCAAGGGTGAGATGGCCGGGGAGCTGGCCACCGCTTCTGGGGTCTCCACTCCCGGCTCCACCAGCTCAGCTGCGGACCCCACGGGGCATGACATCATCACCGAACAGCCCCGGTCGCAGCACACGCTACAGCCGGACGCAGTGGATCTGAGTGGCTGCGACCTGACGAGCGCGGCCCCGGACGGCGACGAGGAGGACTTCCTGAGCTCCAGCCCGGTCAGCGCCGTCCCGTCCGATCCCGCCGTGGACCCGAGCGATGGCACCCAGGCCTCCTCGCCCATCAGCGACAGCTCCCAGACCACCACGGAAGGGCCCGATTCGGCCGTGACCCCGTCCGACGGCTCTGAAATTGTGAGGGGCGGCGCGGGGCCTGTCATCTGTCACCTGTTCTTCCCCTCTGGCTCGCCAAAGGGGTCCCTGGGGCTCGACCCCACCTGAGCCCTCCACTGACGGAAAGGGTTCCGAGGGCCCTGTGGGGTTGTCCCTGGCTTCCAGCACTCAGAGCCCCCTCTTGAACTGCCCAGGTGCTGGACGGCGCTGACGGTCAGTTTTCGGGGCTCGGACAGCCACAGGACGATGATGACGAGGAGGCAGCTGCGGCGGGCGCCCACGCAGACGCGGCTGTCGGGGGCTCGTCCGTGGGTACGTTGCCCTCAGGCTGGGGCCCGCACAGTGGGGTTTTCCACCCGGCATCTCAGCCTCTTCTTGGCCTCTTCGGAGAGCCGCTGCGACTTTGTTTTCTGAGCACTCAGCAGAGAGGGCGAGCGCCGAGGGCAGCTGCTTGTGGGCTGCCCCGTGTCAGCGTGTCGTGGGGACTGGCCACTCAGTCTCTGTCTGCTTTGAAGCCCTCCAGCAGGTGCGCTTGGTGGAGAGTGCCGGCCACAGCAGGCAGGCCTCTGACAGCAGCATGGACAAGTTTGTCTCCAGAGAGGAAGCTGCTGAGCCAGGCGACCCGGAGAGCAAGGTGAGCTGTGGGGGCTCGGGCCTCAGCGGTCCTGAGCTCCTGGGTGTCGGACGGCGGGCCTGCCTGTGACCCCACCCTTCGCACAGCTGCTTCCCCTTCCCAGGTCTCTTCCTCCCCCACGTACTGCCCTGTCCCTGAGCACCTGACCCCCAGCGTACTGTCCTACCCATAGCACCTTGCTATGGCCTGTGGCCGCGCCTGGCGGGTTCGTCTTGCCTCTGTGGCTCTGGACCGGTTCGTAGCTCAGCGTGCAGATGCACGTGATGGACGGTGGCCACGTCGCCGTTCCCGAGCGGCCGGTGGCCTTGTCCTGCGTCACCGGCCCAGTCCTCTTCAGGGTGCGCCCCGTTTTCCCAAACTGAAACCGTCTTCCCGGGAACGCTCACTCCTACCCCCTCTGCGCTGTGCTCCGAATCGGGCCGTGCCTTGCGCCTCGCTGGGGGCCACCGGCGCTCCTGTGTGTCTGGCCCCGCTCACCGCTGATTCCCGAGGACCCAGCTGGGCTGTGGCACGCCGCGATGGCCTTCCTCCTCCTGAGGCTGGATGACCGGCCTTCCCGGGATGGACCCCGTTTTGTGTTCTGCCGCCCCTGGGTTGTGCCGCCGGCTGCAGCCGTGGGCTGACTCATGTGCCCCGGAACATGCTGAGCAGCTTTCTGTGTTGCAGCGTCGCCGGATCAAAGGAGACATAGGACAGGCGTCCGATGCCGATGCTGCTCCTCTCGTCCACTGTGTCCGCCTTTTATCTGCTTCCTTCTTGCTCACGGGAGAGAGGAACGGTGAGTACAGAGGGCAGGAGTGGCGCCGAAGGAGGAAGCTGTGGGCGCCAGTCAGCCGCACGACGGCCCCACGCTCCGTCACTGCCGTCGGTGTAGAGTTGCGGGGGAGCCTGAGTTCTCACTGGCTGGCGGGACAGCGGGGGCGGGGGTGCCGGTGGGCGGTGGGGCCGGCGGGTCTCCTCTTGTTTACTCGGGAAGTGGAAGTCGCTCTGTGACGCCGACGCAGCCCTGGTGGTCTCGTTGCAGCGCTGGTTCCGGACAGGGAGGTGCGGGTCAGCGCGAAGGCCCTGGCGCTCAGCTGCGTGGGCGCGGCCGTCGCCCTGCATCCCGAGTCTTTCTTCAGCACACTTCACAGAGCTCCCCTCGACACCGCCGACTTCCCCGGTAGGGCGACAGCTCAGCCTTGCAGCTGGCACCCAGTCAGACTCGAGCTCTCCTTCAGAGCGTCGTGCGTCCGTTTTCTCCTTGATTTGTGGGCTGTGGCCTTTGGTGTGACTCGCCAGAAAACAAAAATGTTCATGCTTTTAGCTTCTTGGGGATCTTGGGTGTGACGAGATCTGAAGCACAGACACAGGACAGCAGAAGCCTGGGGACCCGCACCTGCACGCTGGTTTTCTGAAACCCGCGGTGCACTGCCCAGGCCCGCCCTCCCCCGGGGCCACACCCTCCCTCCTGCCGGGCCACCCCCACCCCCTGCAGTGTCTGCGCCCTGGCTTCGAGGCTCTGCACCCCTCTCTGGCCGAGGGCAGGGTGTGTGTCTCCCTTTATACCAGGGACGTGTGCACTAACCCGAGTCTCATTTATTTTTTAAACAAAATTCTGGGATTTTGGCTATTGTCTGACACCCTGCAATTACCCAGAAAAATCTGTTGTATCCTGGTGCCATTAGCACCGAGGTCACTCTAGAATGTTAAAGCAGCAGACGTTTCTTTGTGAGTGTTGGTGGTGACTCACGGCGACCTCTTAGATGGACCGCTGGCCTCGCTCCTCTCCTGAAGCCCAGCGTTTGTCCCGTGGGCGGGTGTGCAGCCTTGCCCGGTGACTGAGGGCTTTGTCCGCAGAGGAGCAGTACGTCTCAGACGTCCTGAACTACATCGACCACGGGGACCCGCAGGTCCGAGGTGCCACGGCCATTCTCTGCGGCACGCTGGTCCACTCCATCCTCAGCAAGTCCCGTTTCCAGGTGGCAGACTGGATGGGCCCCGTCAGGACTCGGACAGGTGACGGTAGCTTTTGCTAGCAGTGGGCTGCCCAGACCCTGCTCCCAGGTTCACGCTGACGTGATGGCACTTGTGCTTGCTCTTCCGGTCAGGCAGTGCGTTTTCCCTGGCGGATTGCGTCCCTTTGCTGCAGAGGAGTTTGAAGGACGAGTCTTCTGTCACTTGCAAATTGGCTTGCACCGCCGTGAGGGTGAGCATGGTCTAGTGGAAATCATTTCTTCCATTGTTGGAAACAGTGCCATTGCGACCATCTGAGTTAGAGCTTGATGATGAATAATAGCTCCAGGCACCCGAGAGCTGTAAATAATAATAAACATTTTTGCATTCACCACATAGCTTTAGAAAGAAAACGGTAGTGGGCCCTCTCTGGTGGGTGAAGGGTTAAAGCGCACCACTATGAAGCTGTCAGCAGCTGCTGCAGCCCAAGTTTCCCAGCCAGGCAGTGACCCACACGGCGCAGCAGACCCCTCCTGTCTCCCCGCTGCCCCTCAGCAGTGGGTGTAGGTCCACCTGCCTGTTCTGGTCCCCGCTCTGTCTCTCCTGGTGAGTCCTGTCACCTCCTGCGCCTCTGGCCTGTACCCCAGTGCTTTTACGGCTAAAAAATTAAATATTTAAAAAAGAGAGAAGGAAAACAGGGGTAACAGAGTCAGTTTTCATTCTCAGCATGTTTGCCTGAAATACACCTTTTCGTTAGGCTGTTTGGACATCTTCCTTGCGAACTCTAACTTTAAAACCTGCTGCATTGAAACCAGCTCTGTCAGGTGACCGTGTCAGCGTCGCCGGGAACCCAGGGCCCGGGAGCCAGCGGCATGACCTCTTCTCCTGTGGGCATCAGCTGGCCCCTGGGTCACCGCTGGCCAGGGGATATTAAGTTAGTTGGGGAAAAACCTAAACCAAAAAGCCGGCAGCTGTCAGGATACAGGGTACCTCTCCGGTTATGCATTGCACGGCCTGGCCTGCTGCCCGCCCTGAGTGTCCGCCTGGTGTCGGTCCATCTGCCTCCGGGGCAGGCAGCAGGGAGGGTGCCGGCGCGGATGGGGTCAGCACGCCAGCCCCAGGCTGGTCGGGGTGTGGGGCCCTTGGTGTCTTGGACAAGAGTGCTGCAGTGCTGCCCTGGGCCTGAGGTGGATGTAGCCGTCACCGGCCACCGACCCCCTCTTCCCCTGGCATGTGCTTGGGAAACTGCAGCCTAGAGTCAGGGCATGGCGAGGCAGAAGCAGGAGGGAAGAAGCAGTGTTAGGTGCAAGGTCATCCTTTTGGGCGGGACTTTGCTGAGGTGAGGTGTGCGCTGCAGCACTCCCTGAGAGCTGTGGGAAGCGCCCTCCCTGTGGCCTTGAGAGCGGAGTGAAGCACAGGGGCAGCGGCAGCCGCGCTGACGCTGGCCGGACTGCGCCGTGTCTTCCAGCACTGCGTCACGAGTCTCTGCAGCAGCAGCTACAGCGAGTTGGGCGTCCAGCTGATCACCGACGTGCTGGCCCTCAGGAACAGCTCCTACTGGCTGGTGAGGACAGAGCTGCTGGAGACCCTGGCGGAGATCGACTTCAGGTGAGTCCCTGCGCTGTGGTGGCCAGGAGCTGAAAGGAGGCCTGGGGGCACCTGCGCACCCAGATCTGAGCGCTCTGGCAGCCTCCGTGCCCTGTTCTAGGGCGCCGCGAAGGCCGGCGGGAGGCTGTGCGGGAGCCCGGCCACGCCGTGTCCCACACGGAGATGAGAGCTCAGGCGCAAGTGCGGGGCGCTGAGGCCGCAGGAGGCCGTGGCCGGCCGGCACCTGCCCCCCACAACGGACTTGGGGTGGTCGTAGCTTTCCTGCCTTTTGAGCGTCGTTTTGGTTCGGGGTGTTCGAGTGTTTGCTTCCAGGAGGGACGTTAGCTCTGTGCGCAGCCCTTGAGTCCTCACCGGCAGAGTGCTGGTTTCTTGCCGGGGCACTGTGAGGTGCCCTTGGAGGGTCTTTCCTTCATCTGAAGAGCAAGTCAGGAAGTGGGGTTCTCTCCCCTCAGATGGGGGGCCCCACCTGGAGCAGGCCCAGGGCAGCTAGTGCCCGCAGAGCTCCCCGCCCGCCCTGCGCACTGTCCCCCAGGGCAGCGTCTGTGCCCGGCTCTCTCGCGGCGGCTGTGGGCGCCGGGTGAGTCGCCCCGTCCTCCCTGTGAGCGCCGTGTTCGGCCGGCCCTAGGCCCGCCTCTTCGAGGTTGGTCGCCGGCTGTGTGCTCGAGCGCGTGGCCGTGCTCAGATGCCTTCTCTCGTCAGGTTGGTGAGCTTTCTGGAGGCCAGAGCCGAGAGTTCGCACAGAGGAGCGCGCCAGCACACCGGGGTAAGCTGCTGGGAGCTGCGCCTCGAGGAGCGGCCGTTCCCTCTGGCGGTGCTTCCCCACGGCCTCGTCAGGAAACGTGTGGCCTAGCGCAGGCCGTCCTGACTTCTTCCCAGTGGCTTTCCAGAATGCCCCACTTGAGGGCGCAGCCCACTGCGGAGGCTACGTCTGTTCTCTCCTTGTCTCTGCAGCTTCTGAAGCTGCAAGAGCGCGTGCTGAGTGATGTCGTCATCTACCTGCTTGGGGACGAAGACCCCAGGGTGCGCCACGTTGCCGCCGCGTCCTTGGCCAGGTACCCGCCCCCCCATCTGCGCTCCCTTCTTGGTGACACCAGCGTGCTGGGTGCAGGGGGCGTTCAGGACGCCGGTGGCGAGGACAAAGCCTCGCCACGGTCAGGAGCCCATGACAGGAGCGCCCCTCGCCAGGCACAGGCCTCAGAACGAGGGGACGAGGCCGGGAAGAAGAGACCTCCCGCCACCTCCCTCCCTCGCTGCCTCCCAGGCGGTCACTGGTGACATGTGGCTGTGTGTCTGAGTTTCTTTTACAAACGGGACAAAATGCCCTTGCAGTAGGTAATATGTTGTGAGTGGCACTGCCCGTTCCCAAGTAGCCCTCTTGAAAACACATCGGTCAATGCCGTATTTTCCACCATGGTTGTGAGAAATTTTTGCATAAATACTATCTTGAGGGGTTCTGAGTTCTCTTTAAGTGACTAAAGACCCCAGGAACTTCGTTGAGCTTCAGCGATAACATCTTTTCCTTAGAGTTGGCTCCCGGAAGTTAGTTACCAGACCAACCCTTGCCTCCTAGTTTTAGGGAAGGTCAGTTCGCTCGTCTTGCCTGTTCCCTGTTGTGGTGGTGCCGTGAGGAGACCCACGGCCCTGACTCCGAACCTGGCCGCACGGCCCTCCCCGAGGCCCCTTGGCCCCCAGCGGCCACCCCCAGCCCCCACCCCGGCCTACGCTCCTGGCCCCTGTCTTAGCAGTTGGCCCTTCTGGACAGCCTGTACCATGGGCCAGCAGCCAGTGGCCTTGGCACCCCGCTTCTTCCACTTGGTCTCGAGGTCCGTCCGTGTCGCATAGGCCCAGCTGGCCCTGTGCGTGGCCAGTGCCGCCCCAGGGGGGCTGCGGCTGTGATGCTCCAGGTGGCACGGGCATGCTGTTGGCAACGTGGCCTCGGTGTGGGCACGTCTGTTTTCTGGGGCGGACGCCCGGAGGGGGGCTGCGAGGGGCCGACACCACGGAGGAAGTCGCTCTCCAGAGGCCCGCCGGTTACGCCTCCACAGCTGGCAGGCGTTTGCCCCCCAGCCTCCTCACCAAAGCGGATGCCCCGAGGTGGGCTCAGTGGTCTAGGCAGAATTTTCATCTGGTTTAAGAAGTAACGCGTGTTTCGTGAGCAGACTTTGGGGAACATACAGAGAAGGAAGTAAAGCCCTTCATAAGCGCCTGCCCGAGCCACAGCTGCGTCTGGCGCTTGCTCTCTGCGGCGTCTGCGTTTCTCTGTCCGCGAGGCCCACCTTCGCCGAGTTTGTGAGACTGGGCTGGGCTTGGAGCGGGCGTCCTCCGCGTCTCTCGCAAGCGAGGGCAATTATTATGCCCCAGGAGGGCGCTTACCCAGGTCTCAGGGCAGTGAGGTCAGGCCTTCAAGACACCGGCGTTTGCAGAGTCGAGCAGAGGCCAGCCCTCGGCGAGAGTGGCCCACCGGGGCCGCCCTCCCACGCTGGCCGCCGAGTGCTGACCGCGGGGCCAGCCTGTGTCCATGAGACCGCTGTGCCTGTGCATCCAGCGCAGCTTGGGAGCCGCCTGAGCCGCAGCGTGAGCCTCTGGGGCAGAAGCCGGAAGTGAGTCTGAGCCCGCCCGCCCGGCGCTCGGGACGGCCGCGGGCAGGCTCGTTGCACCGGCAGATGTCCCGGGGCCAGCGTGGGTCCGAGCGCTGTGCCCTTGCCCTGGGCCAGGGTGTAGCGCTCCGTCATCCCCAACTTGTGAGGGGGCTTGTGTTGCAGACTCCCACCCGTGTGTCACCGGGGGGAGGGGGTGTCGTCAGGCTAAGCCCCCGGGATGGGCTCGTGACGGGCCAGTGTCCATCTTGCCCAAGTCAACAAACCGCCCTTTCTGCTAGGCTTGTCCCAAAGCTGTTTTACAAATGTGACCAAGGACAAGCTGACCCCGTGGTGGCCGTGGCGCGAGATCAGAGCAGCGTGTACCTGAAGCTCCTCATGCACGAGACGCCGCCCCCCTCGCACTTCTCCGTCAGCACCATCACCAGGTACGACCGCGCCCCCTGCCTTTCTGGGGGGCAGCCTTTGAATGGCCTGTTTTCTGGAAGCCGCGCTCGGGCAGGCAGCCCTCCTTCCCCTGCCGGCACAGCTCCCAGGGCCCTCCCTGCCCGGCCCTGCCCTCGTCACGGGGCGCGGCGTCGCCCTCTGTCAGCCCACGCTGGAGCGCTTCCCCCTGAAGACTTACCTGCGAAGCTGCGTTAGAGGAGTGCGCGTGTGCCTTCCGTGGGGGGCCGCGGGGGTCGCCAGGGCAGGGCCTGCCCTTGGCACTGCGGCTGTGAGGCGCCGGAACCTCGGGGGTGTCGCCGACCTGTGTCGGCCCTCTGGAGGCAGCATAGGCTGGGGGGCGGGGACGCGGCTGGCGG